TAAACCACTTAAAAATGCAACCCAAGGGCCAGGGATTTAATTTAGCTCAGTGATTCTGCCACCTGCCTTGAAAGTGCAAGATTCCAAGTTCGACCCCCAGGACCCAAAAAAAAAAAAAAAAACGGCAGGAAGGTAAAAGGCCAGAATATCACTCCAGGGGAGGGGACTCGGGCAGCAGTCGATGGGTGAGATTTTGAGTTGGGACAACAGGAACATTTCAGGAAAGCCATGTGTGGGGCTCTGGAGCTGGCCCACAGGAGAGGATCCATGTGAAGGCATCTGGCCTTGCTCTGCCCAGGCAGAGGTGGGGGCCGGGGCCAGGACAGGCCAGTGGCTTTCACCTGCTGGTGATCACCCTGGCCTTGGACCGCCTCGGTGAGGGCTTGAAGAGGAAGTGTGATCTGGAAGAGGTGGCACAGGCGGCTTGGACTTGGCCTGCACCTTCACTTCTGGGGTGGGCACCAAGAGCTCCTGCTCCTCTGCAGGTCCAGATCCAGAGCAAGAAGGTGGACATCTCCAAGGTCTCCTCCAGGTGTGGTTCCAAGACGAACATCAAGCATAAGCCGGGTGAGCCCTCCGTGCGAGCGGGCGTCTGCTGCATTGTGGCGGGCAGCCTTTCTCTCCTTTGTTGTTGTGCTGGGGGTTGAACCCAGGGCCTCCTACTGAGCTGTACCCCCAGCTCATTTGTAAGATCTGACTTAGTCTCACTAGGTTGCCCAGGCTGGGCTGGAACACAGTTCTTCTGTGTCAGCCTCCTAGACTGCTGGAATCCCAGGCCTGTGCCACCATACATGGCAAGAGCTTGCCCGTTTGGGGCACAAGGTCCTTGGGCATCCTTGGGTCCAGCCCTCTGGCTCCCAGCATTGCGAACACGGTGTTCACTCCCCTGCTGCCCAGTGACCAAGGACTCTGTGTTCAGGTGGAGGAGATGTCAAGATTGAAAGCCAGAAGCTGAACTTCAAGGAGAAGGCCCAGGCCAGGGTGGGCTCCCTGGACAACGTGGGCCACCTGCCTGCGGGAGGCACCGTGAAGGTAGCGCGTTGCTTCGAGGCTAGGGGCTGCAGCGGGAGGTGCTGGGCAGGGAGGGAGCCAGGCTTGCAGGGAGGGGCCTGAGCGGGGAGAGCACCCTCTCCAGTTTCTGTTGGCACCAGCCCTCAGTCTCCAGAGCCATTGTCACCCACACCACACCATTGCTGTTTCCCATCGTCCCCCATCAGCCCCACACAAGGCAGGAGAGGTGGGGAGCCCGGCCACCTGACCCGTGGGCTGCGGCTGGGTGGTTGCGTCCTGGTGCGACTGGGCTCCCTTCCTCCCTCCGTCCCTCCACAGTGCTGTGAGACCCTCTGTGTGCCAAGGTGCTGTCTGTCATTGTCCCACGTCCTGGTGGTCTTGGCGGCTTGTGGGCCATGGGGCAGTGTCCTGAAGGCTTCCGGCTTGGGGACTCTGCAGCTGAGTGACAGGAGCTGCCTTGCTCTAACTGGCTCTCCTGTGCGCTGCGCCGGGCAAGGGCTGCTTCTGGCCCCAGGCCTTGTGGGGGTTTTGTTTCTGAGTTTGCACTCGAATTCTCTGCCTCAGCCTTCTAGACAGACAGTAGGGTAGGTGTGCACCTTCAGGGTCAGGTCTCGCTTTTTATTCACCTCCCCGCTCCTCCCATCCCTATTCTTTCTTTCTTTTGAGACCCCTTGAGCTATGTAGCCCAGACTGACCTCCAACTCAAGGTGATCCTTCTGCCTCAGCCTCTCAAGTGCTGGGTTTACAGGCGTGCGCGTCTGTTCCTTTATTATTCCTGGTATTTCTAACACGCAGGCCTGTGTCTTTCACCCTTGTGCTTAAAGCCCACAGAGGAGTGTCCATGTGGCTGCCCACTTCCATGCCCTCCACACCGAGCCTTCCCTGTCTCCTGGGTCCTCCGGTCCCTTGGAGTCTCCAAGCTCCTGATCTCCTTGGCCCCGCCGTCCCACACACCTTCTTCCTGCCTCCCTTGTCCCTGGGCCCGGGGTGCTGCCGTGGGAAGGACCCCTGCCCAAGTGGCCAGGAGGGGTGGCTTTATGCTGTGTCCCTGCTTTGAGGCCTGACAGTTTGTCCCGCGGGTGCCAGGGTAGGGCGGGCATCCCGAGGCAGAGGGGTGGGCGGGGCAGGACTGTGTGTGACACCACCGCCATCACCATCCCATCCCCTCCCCTCCTCATTAACCCCACTGTCTCCATGTTTCATTGTAGACTGAGGGCAGTGGCAGCGAGGCCCCTCCGTGTCCAGGCCTCCCTGCTGGGGAGGAGCCGGCCAGCTCTGAGGCTGCGCCCAACACTGGCGCCCCCGCTCCAGCCAGTGGCCTCAATGGCCTCACCACCCTGTCAGGGGGTGGTGACCAAAGGGAGGCCCAGACCTTGGACAGCCAGATCCAGGAGACAAGTAAGTGGCTGGGCCCGGCCTGAGGGCCAGCCAGGGGCCCCGCCACTGGCCGGAAATTGAACTCCTTTGTTTCTGACCAGCGTGGGGCCTGAATTTTAACAAAGTCACCTTTTATTTTCCAGGCATCTAATGATGACATTCTGGTCTCGTCTTCCGTCTCCCCCGTGTCCCTCCTGTCTCCCTCACTCCCTCCCCTCCCCTCCTCCCGTGTCCCTGCAGATTGAGACCTACAGGCTGACGTTCCGGGCAAATGCCAGGGCCCGCACCGACCACGGGGCCGACATTGTCTCCCGGCCCCCTCACTTCCCTGGCTCCCGTGCTCTTGGCCCCCCGTCCCGGGCTGCCCACTAGACCTGTGAGTGCCCGCTCAGGGCCGGGCAGCCCCGCTAGGCCCCTCCCCCTGG